CCCACCCTGCTCTTCCTGGACGAGGTGGACGCGCTGTGTCCCCGGCGGGGCGGCGCGCACCGGGCCCCCGAGGGCCGCGTGGTGGCCCAGGTGTTGACGCTGCTGGACGGCGCCCGCGGGGACCGCGAGGTGGTGGTGGTGGGATCCACCAACCGGCCGGACGCGCTGGACCCGGCGCTGCGCAGACCCGGGAGATTCGACCGAGAGGTAAGGGGCCGGGGCGGGTCCCCCGTGACCCCTGCACCCTCGACTTCTGCCCAGGTTGGCCTCCCCGAGGCGTTGCCACTTAGGTTTGGACCCCGGTGGGGCTGGAGTGGGCCCTTTGTAAGAGCGCGAAGAACACGTCGGTTCCCTTTCCAAACATGATCCGCGAACCGGGATTCGTTTTCTCCAGCGTCGAAGTGTCCTGAGCAGCGAGTGTCCGTTAGGGGTTGGTTTTGTTGTACAGGTCTTGAAGAAGAAACCTACAACCAGTAATGTTAATGTTTAGGGGAAGTAGGTTTGCTACAAGTGCATTAAACTTAAATGGATAATAGGGTGGCGTTAATGGGAGCGACATAAACTCTCCTGGATTCCTTCTCGCGCGCGCGGAGGCCACCATCCTGTCCCACCTGCGCTCCCTGAGTCCCGGGAAGCTTGAGGATTCAAAAGCTGTCCTGTTTATAAGCGTCAGTCTTCAGTGGATTCTTGGTTTCTGTTAAAATAGTTTGAACAGTTTAGTTTAAGTGATGTTTGAACTTTGTGGTAGGATTCTAAAGGGACACGATAATTGCACACTTTTAGCTTAACCTGCTCGGAACTTGAGTGGATTTTTCCCTTGCAGCATCCAGTGCCAGGCTCCTGAATCGGCTCCCTAAGGACTGGGACCTAGACTATCTGGTTTACTGGCTCCTAGAATTTGGTCCGGTCTCAAAAGTAACAAATCAAGACTTATTAAATAACATATGTAATTTTCATTGTGCAGCTTTTTAGCCAGTGTTGCTCTTCTGGAAAATTAGGATTTTCGTATGTTCAGAATCTAAGGTAGGCTTAAGAGGACATAGTAATAATTCCTAATTTGCTCACTAAATTATTGTACATATTCGTGAGGATAAAAAATAATATTTTAGCCCGGGCTGGTGGCTCAGTTGGTTGAGCTTTGTCCCCTACACCAAAAAGGTGGTGGGTTGGATTCCCTGTCAGGGCACATACCTAGGTTTCCGGTTTGATCCCAGTCTGGGCGCACATGGAAGGCAACGGATCGATGTCTCTCTCTCTCTAAAATAAATAAATTTTGGGGTGACGATTAAAGATAATAATATTTTAAACAGTAAGTTATTATTTTTTGCTTTGCATATAGGTTGTCATTGGGACTCCCACACTTAAACAAAGAAAGGAGATTCTACAGGTGATTACCTCAAAGATGCCCATCTCTAGTCAAGTTGACTTGAGCCTCTTTGCAGAAATGACAGTTGGCTATGTTGGCGCAGACCTGACCGCACTCTGTAGGGAGGCTGCCCTGCACGCTTTGCTTCACAGTGAGAAGGTAGGAAACGCTGATTTATGGGCATGTGTATTAATTTTTTTATTAAGGCAACAAATTAATTTGGGGGATTGAAAAAAGCGGTAAGTACATTTTCTTGGACCTTTTGATACCTTCCACAGCTGTTTCTTACATATATTTTTACGTTTGAAACATTTGAGAATATACTGCAGCCGTGATGCCCCTTTAGCCTTGAAAACTTAAGTGTATGTTTCCTAAAAACTAGGACTTTGACCACGGTACAGTGATCCAGATGAGGAAATTAACATTGACACAATACTTTTACCTAATCTATGTAGACCTTGTCCAAATCTCACCATTTGTCCCACTAATTTCATTTAGAGCAAACATTTAAAAAGGAAAAGAGAAAATGTTCTTTTTAATCCAGGATTACACACTGCATTTAGTTGTCATGATTTCTTAATCTTTTAAAGCCTAGAACCATTCTTCAGCCTTTTTTTAACGACTTTGACATTTTAAGAGTACAGGTCAATTATTCTGTAAAATATTCCTCAGTTGGGTTTGACCGATGTTTCCTCATAATTTGATTCGTGTTTTGCCTTTTTGGCAGGAGTATCTAAAATGATCCTGTGCTCTCATTGTATCGATTAGTGAGCAAACGGTATCTTTGTCCTATTAACTTATTTCTTGAGTAAGGTTACCACCTTATCCAATCTCTGAGATTTCTCTATTGTCATGATACTATTTCCCTTTATTATTAATATGTATCTTATAGGGAAAATAGCCTTTGCTAACTCAGGAAAAAATTGCGCGCCTGTAATTTTATTTAAATTTGACTTTGATGTTCAGATCTTTAATTCATGACTACCTTTCTTAAAAATATTTAGAATATTAGCTTAAATATAATAGTTTTCCAACACTGTGGATTGGAAAATCTGTTCACTTTGTACATAATAAGTAACCCTGAATTCCTAAACCCCTTTAGAAAAAAATTCAGCATGCTGAGGATTTGGGGACAAAGTTTTTAATCTCTGTTGTAATGTTAACATTGTCCTTTGATCTTATAATTTCTAAAGCCCAATTTTAAGTTTGTTTAAACTATTAAAGGATGATTTATCCTAAATTTTGAAAACCTCTTTACCTAGATAATTTGTATCCCTCCTTATTTCCTTTTCATTTATTTTTACTCTTACACTGAAGGTGGAGAAGGAGTTAGATGAACTTAAGTCCTCATCTTCTGGGTCTTTTAGAACCAAAACTGCTTGAAGATTTAATGACAAATCCCACGTGTAAAGGTGTAGGAGTATATGCCTTTTGAGGGAATGACGAGAGTACCAGGGGATGGAAAATGAGATTCACATTTAGGATTCCCTCTGCTTTGAAGTTCCAGGTTTGACCTTGAGCACCTTGGCTTAGGGGGACCAGCCAGCTGCTGCCATCCTAGGGTGGAGCCCGGTGCTACTTGAGGAGGGGCCTGCCCAGGCATAGTTACCGCGGGCGATGGCTGAGTTCATAAGCAACCAGGGGAAGTGGAAGAAAGGAAGGCAAAAAGGAAGAAGGGACAGAGGCATCTGGAGAGGTACTGGCTCCATCTTTTCCTTCCTTCCCACTCCAGGCAGCTGAGGGGCTGCTACTGCCTCTTTGTGTGCCAGGGCAGACAAGGGACCCATTGAAGTTTGTTCACCTTTTTGTAAAGTATTCCTGTGAAAGGGTGAGAAATACAGTTTAACACATACACATATACATACGGAAGGGAAAGAATTATATGAGAATCCAGTGAAGTAATGCACACACGAGGGATCTTGCAATAGAGATGGGATGTTCAAATGTTAGTAGGAGTTACCTAAAAATTAATTAGTATTCAGGTACCCAGCATCTAATACTGCCAGCCAGTTAAAAAAAACAAAAACGTTACTTAAAAAATTATTTAAGTGTTCATTGTAAGAAATTAAATAAGATAAAAAATTATAAAGAAAGTAAAAATTGCTTGAAATCTTTCCCAGACATTATAATTATTAACATTTTTTTTAAGGAATGCTGTTCAGAATTGCTCTATACATATATATTCACTTATATAATCTTACATAAATGGGCTAAAATAGTTTAGTATTGAAAATGGGAATTTTTGGACAAGTGAATGTTTAGAGTTTGATATAAAAGGGCAAATACTTAAATATAATACAGGTATTACAAATAGAAATATGAGTTTTTAACTCTAACAAAAAATTTGCTTCATTAGAATGATTAAGGAAATTGCTAGAAGGATTCTCCAAAATATAATCTTAGCGTGAAGATGGACTTTCTTAGCATAACAGAAAACCTAATAGCCAGCCGGGCCAGGAGGCAGCCAATCAATGACTCTCTCATCATTGATATTTCTATCTCTCTCTCCCTCTCCCTTCCTCTCTCTAAAATCAATAAAAACATTTGAAAACAACAAAAAAAAAACCTAATAGCCAAAAAGGAAAAGATTTACTAATTTGACCATTTTGGAATGGCAAAACAATACTATAAGCAAAGATAAGACATGAGATAGACTGGGGAAAAATGCTTTTAGCCCTTGACAGAAAGAGCAGTTACCTTGTAGGGAAAGAACTCTCACATATCAGTAAGAAAAGACAAAAAGTCCAAGAGAAAATGGGTAATAAGGTATGACCAAAATTACAAACGGCCAATAAACGTGAAAAATTCTCCTTAAAGATTAGTTTCTTTCAATTCTTAACTTTCTGTTTTGAAATAAGTAAAACTTTAGGGAGAGTTGTAAGATAGGGAACTCCTGCTAAATCCTTTATCCAAATCCACCAATTTTTAACATGTTGCCAAATTAGCTTTATCATTTTCTCTATGCATGTATGTATATACATGTTATTTTTTTCTGAATCATTTGAGGATGGATAACCCATTATCCCTTAATTTTTTAATGTGTATTTCCTCATAGCAAGGATACTCTCATACATGAGCACAGTATGGTTGGTTAGTATAATCATTATATTCAAGAAATTTAATACTGATACAAAATGTTATCACATCTATAGTCCATATACTGATTTGGGTAATGGTTTCAATATTTTTAACTATTTTTTTTCTCTCAGTACAGAATCTAGTTCAGAATAATATATTACACTTACTTTTAATCTTGAACACTCCATAGCTTTTTTTTTTTGGTGAGATATTTGACATCGACATTTCATTTTTAAGGATGCAGGTCAGTGGTTTCATAGACTGCCTCTCAGTTTGGGTTTGCCTAATGTTGCTTCATAGATTCAGATTATGCGTGCCTGTTAGGAATACTACAGAAGTGATAGTGTGTCCTTCTTAGGGTGTCACATGTGGAGCCACAAGATGGCCACAGTCCCTTATGGGTGCTGCCCCTAAGTGGTGACTGATGTGATCATCCAGTCAAGGTTTTGTCCAGTTTCTCAGTGTATAGCTGTCTTTTGCTTTGCAATTAATACATCCATGAGGAGACCCTTTGAGATCATGCAGATATCCTGCTCCTCATCAACTTTCCTTCCCCTCGATTAGACTCTATTAATGATTCTTGCTCAAAAAAGCCTTTACTATGATGGTTCCAAAAAGTGATTTTCTAATTCCTTTACTCCCTCTATCTCACTCTTGATTGAAGAAATTTAATTAACACAGTAGTGAGTCCCATTTCCTCCGTCACATTGGGAGAAATTGAAAAGTTTGGTAATGTCCAGTGTCAGAGATGTGTGGAGAGAATAGCAGCTTTGCCTTCATTGGTGCAGCTTTGAGGACAGCTTGGTAGTAGCTGTCACAACTGTACACTTACACACTCTTAAACCCTGTCATTCTGCTTTGAGGAAATTATATAAAGTACCTGGCATGTAAAAGTGAGGTAGAAAAAAAGGAGTGAGGTAGAGTTATATTAGTTGACATGAAAAGATTCCTGAGATAAGTTTTTTAAAAAGCACAAATTAATGCCCTGCCGGCGTGACTTGGTGGTTGAGCTTCGACCTGTGAACCAGGTCACCAGTTCTATTCCCCGTCAGGGCACATGCCCCGGTTGCAGGCTCCGTCCCCAGTAGGGGGCGTGCAGGAGGCAGCTGATCAATGACTCTCTCATCATTGATGTTTCTGTCTCTCTCCCTTTCCCTTCCTCTCTCTGAAATCAATAAAAACATTAAAAAAATAAAGTACAAATTAATGTGTATGGTGTGGTCCCCCATTTGTGTTATGTGTTTGAAAGGATATACACATGCTTTTATTATAAAGCATGCTGGGAAAATATACAGGAAATTGTTGACATCCTCAGGGATGAATGTTGGGGGGAGGGGTTTAAGGTTTTTTTGTACCATGTGTATAAATTTCTTTATAGTGATAACAAAATAGATTTATAAATTCAAAAGAGGGTAAACTAATTATGCAAAAAGTCTCACCTCGTTTTTGGTTTGATTTTGCTTTTTTGGGTGTATTTCTTCAGAATCAGGAGAATCCGACGATTAATGAAACAGACTTTCTTGAAGCTTTTAAAAAGATTCAACCTTCATCATTTCGAAGTGTCATTGGGCTGATGGACATCAAGCCTGTTGGTTGGGAACAGATTGGTGGCCTTGAAGATGTAAAACTGAAGTTAAAACAGGTGAGACAGATAATCTGCCTAAGCCAGTAGAATATTATAATTTAGGTGCAATGCATTCATGATGAAAACAAGCTATGCCGAAATGGCTCTTGCTGTCATCACTAATTTGATCCTAATATTTAAGTCCAGTGATCACTTTTCAGTCCCTATTTAATTGGACTTCTATAAGCATTAAATACTATTTTTCATACTTCCCTAGCTCATCCTCTTTTTGTTTGTTTTTTGCTTTAAAGAGTTGATAATCTAGAACAGGGCTCAGTAAACTTTTTTCTGTAAAGGGCCAGAGTAAATATTTTAGGCTTTGTGGGCTAGTCTGCTGCAAACCACTCAACTGCCGTTGTACCACAAAAGCAGCCACAGGCAATATGTAATGGGTACTTGTATTCTGTTGAAACTATTTTAGGACACTGAAGTCATACAGTTTTCTCATCATGAAATATATTATTGTTTTGATTTTTTTTCTGAGCATTAAAAAATGTAAAAATGATTTAGTTCACGAGCTGTACAAAAATACTTAGGTGGTGGGCCTTACTTTGCTCCAGGACTGGTAAAAGCACAACATTATAATAAATAGTCTGTATGGCTGGATGGTTACTTGATACTGGTTCTCACAGTGGATGCTGAGGGACACAACTCTCCAGATCCTCTTGCATGCATTGCAGTTTCAGAAATTGATTTTGCCAGCTTACCTTCCAGTGATCCTGCCATAAGGAACTAGGTTTCTCTAACCACACACACAAAAGCCTGATTTATAAGTATCCATTATTGTTTATTCATCTTAACTAGGAGCTATAGATCTACAGTGAACCTGGACATCCCTGTGTCCATGGATAAGCATATTTATAATATACCCTGTTTGTTTACATGCATTGTCACATTTAATCTTCATAAAATATGTGAGAGATTAGCCGTACTTTCCTGTTGAAAACTCTAGCTCTGAGATGTTAAACTTTTCTGCCTTCCTGAACACTCCTCTTCCATATCTTAAATGTTAGTGCTCCAAGCTCCTGGGAGTCCTCTTTTTGCATTCTGTGAGTGAGTCCATGATCTCGATGTCCAAGGCTCCAACTGTCCCCCGAAAACTGTTAACTCAAAAATCTTTATATCCTGTACACACAGTTCTTTTGATTTTTAGAACTACTTAGCCACCTGCCTACCCAGCACTTCCAGGGATCTAAAACTCAGCTTGTTCAGTTCAGCTCATCAGCTCCACCTCCACACCTGCCTCAGTGACTTCCTGCCTCAGTGCAGACAGTCAGCCGCGCCTTCCCCAAGTCAGACATGTCTTCTGAATGCACAGGGCCATATGTGTGCACATAACTTCCCATCTGGGTTTAGAACTTAGTCCCTGTGTAAAATACAATTATATTTTATGTTATAAATCCATCCCTTCCCTGCCATCTCCACTGCCTGTGACACCCAGCCTTATTATTTTTGTAGTATGAATCATTGCAAGAGAATTTTAACTGGTTTCCCTACCTCTAGCTTCATTTCCTTCCAGTCCATTGTCCATACCACTTCCTCATTGTTGACTAAAACTTTTAAAGCCCATTGTGATCTGACTCTTCTTTCCATTTCAACTCTATTGCTCCTTGCTTCCCTCTTTCTCCCCTCTGCTCCTGGCGGGATGAGTTAGTTGGTTTTGTGTCTCTCTGTTCTTTTGTTGTTGTGTCCCTCTGTATGTTTAATTTTTTTAAATATTTTTTTTGGATTTCAGAGAGTTCAGGAAGGGGGAGAGAGAGAGAAACATCAATGCTGAGAGAGTCATTGACCTGCTGCCTCCCACACGCCCCCTACTGGGGATCGAGCCAGCAACCCTGGCATGTGCCCTGACTAGGAATCCAACTGTGACCTCCAGGTTCATGGGTCAATGCTCAACTAGTGAGCCCCGCCAGGCTGGGCTCTCTGTATGTATTGTTTCTTCTTCATGGAATGCCCTTCTCTGGCCTAGTTGTTAGTTTACAAGCCTGTTTCCCCAACTGAAATATGACTTGCCAAGATCCAGAGGTCTTGTCTTACCCCTTTTTTGGAGAGAGGCAATATATCAGTAGTTAAAAGCTTATGTTCTTGATCTGCACTGCCTGGGGTCAGTCTCAGTTCTACCACCTCACTAGCAATAAGCCCTGGGCAAATTACTTAACTTTTCTAAGCCTGAGTTTCAACATCTGTAAAATTATGATGATAAAACTATCTACCTAAGGGGTAGGTAAGATTTATTTACTATTCAGTTAACATTTATTGAGTGCCTACTTTGTGAGGGTATCATTCTAGGTGCCAGGGATTCACAGGTGAAATTGGCTTACGTTCTAGCAGGAGCAGAATGACAAACCCAACATGGAAAAATAATATTTCAGATAGTGCATGAATAAGTGCTCCAAAAGTAAAAGAGGGCAGTAGCATAGAGTGACTAGGAGGAGGAGGGTCTGCTTTAACTAGAGTGGTTAGGGAAGACCTCTCCAGGGAAATGACACTGAGCTGAGACCTGAATGATGAGGGGTGGCCACACAAAGATCTTGAGGGGGTGTTCAGGCAGAGAGAGAATAGCAGGTAAGGCCCTGAGAAGGAACAGGGTGGGGTGTGGGTGTCAGGTTATGGAAGACCTTGTAAGCAGTGATAAGTAAGGGGTTTGGATTGGAATTTATTCTAATTCTGATGGCCAGTCATTGAAGGATTTAAGAAGCCAGTGATGTGTCCTGAGTTAGTCTCTAACATCGCTGGCTGCTGTGTGGGAAAGGACTGCATTTCCAGCTCATAACGGGTACCTGAGAATTGTGGAATGGACAAATAAGTTTACTGAATTATTTGATGTTTTATTGTTATACTAAAACGACTGTCTCTTTTTGTGTACTTACAGAGCATTGAATGGCCTCTGAAATTCCCTCGTGAATTTGTTAGGATGGGTCTGACACAGCCAAAGGGAGTTCTCCTCTATGGCCCTCCTGGATGTGCTAAGACCACCCTGGTGAGGGCTCTGGCCACAAGCTGCCATTGCTCTTTTGTTTCAGTGAGTGGAGCTGATCTCTTTTCACCTTTTGTTGGAGATTCAGAAAAACTCTTGTCTCAGGTTTGTTTGTTTATTTTTCTCCATGTAGTTAAGTTTACTTTTGAATTTTTATTTCATGCCTTAAGGATAAACCTTATTTTTAAAAATATAATGGCTTATTTTTCCTATTAGATAAGTTATACATATTTGTTTATAGAAAATTTAGAAAATATAGAAAAATATAAATAAGAAATGCTTCATAATCCCTCTACCTACATTAACATTTTAGTGAGTTTCTTTTGTCTTTCTGTTTCCTTGAGCAGGCGATATATATGTATCTTTATTGTGATTTTTTTTTTACTTAACATTATCACTTTTAAAATTCCATAATATTAAAAATTATTTGAAAACATGATTTTTAACTCCTACATAAAACTGCATTGTTTCTAGTTTTATTTATTTGTTCCCCAATTTTTAGACATTTAGGATCTTTCTCTTCTTTCTACATTGTAAAAATAGTAATGCAGAAAACATAAATTCACATGAATACAGTATAATATATAGCTTTTTGAATTTTTAATATTTTTATTTTCTTAACAAAAGGTATTTCGACAAGCAAGAGCAAATACTCCAGCAATTGTGTTTTTGGATGAAATTGATTCAATCTTGGGCTCTCGATCAATCAGCAAAACAGGATGTAATGTTCAAGAGCGTGTTCTTTCTGTTCTTCTGAATGAATTAGATGGTATTGGACTGAAAACTATTGAGAGAAGAGGAAGTAAATCAGATCAACAGGGTAAATACAAGGAGCTGAAAAAAAATGAAGAGGTATTTATTAGCCAGATTCCACCAAAACTCCAGGCCCACATTAAATAGAATGCATCTACACTAGCTTTTCCTGAGTTGGATTCATCTCATAGGAAGAATTATATCATTTCAGTTGGACTCTGTTAGGATACTTACAAACCTGGTAAAATTGTGATTTAGCTGGAAAAGGTGAGGCAAATTTTATAAGTTAGCTATATATGAATGTTTTATTTATTCTAAGATTTAGAAATATAACTTTACATATTGTTAATGGAGAAGGGAGTTTCTTTTTATTTCTATATCCTGAAAAAACCAGTGTCCATCCCTTTATATATTCATTTATTAATGTAATTAAAAATTTTTTTAATATGTCTATTGATTTCAGAGAGAGGAAGGGAGAGGGAGTGAGAGAGAGATAGAAACATCAGTGATGAGAGAGAGTCATTGAGCAGCCACCTCCTACATGCCCCATACTGGGAATTGAGCCCGCAACCTGGGCATGTGCCCTGACCAGGAATTGAACCGCGATCTCTTAGATCATAGGTCGATGCTCAACCCCTGAGCTACACTGGCTGGGCTAAATTTATTTTTTGTGAAGCAAAACATTATTTTCAATAATCTTAGTAACTGAAAATTTCCAGTTTCCTTGAGGAAGGGATTTCCTTGGTTATAATAAATTTGAAATGACTTTTGGGAGTCTCCTTCCCCCTCTTCTGAGTCTTCTCCAGATAGAGTTTGGCATCTTAAATAATCAAATAATTCCTGACAGGTAATTTTTCTTATCTGTTATTCTTTTCTTATTATTACTTACGTCCCACTTTTAAAATTGTTCCATGGAAGGAGAATCTTAACACCTCCTTAGAGGTGTTAGAATTTGAAGGGACCCATGAAGTTTTCTAATCAGATCTCCTCATAATGCAGGAACTATTCTGTAGCATCTTGCAGGTGTTTATCCAGCCTCAGCTAAAGTACTTACAGAGACAGGGAACGCACTGCTTTGAGAGATCACATTACTGGGGAACTATGATTATTCACACACAATTTTGCATGCTTAGTGTGGAAGGCCTTGCCCTGGTTGCTTTTAGATATCTGTATCCAGGATTTAAATACCTGCATCTTAGGTGTTCATATTTCTGCCTCTGGAAAGAAAAATAAAAAGTAAAGCAAATCTCCCTCTTTAAGGACGAGAGCCAAGACTTTTCATAGCCATACATCTACATGCGTTTGTCACATGCTTCTATATTTTCAAGCCATTCTTTTAAATGTAAATATTCGCTGAGGCTCAGGTGCCTCAGACACCAGTTACATGTTTTCTTTTATGAAGTCAGACTTTTCATGGAGAGATGCTCCCTCCCTATTGGCCACTCCCTTCCTCATGTGCACAAGTGGCTCTTTGATTAATAATTTGTTTCTGGGGTACCTTGTTATCGAGAAGGTAGTCTAGATGTGAGGTATAAGCATCCCAGACCCAAGAAAGAAGTATCCCTATTTAAAAACTAGTAGACCTTGTGATTTGTAATTTTAAAAATACATTTAATAATTAGCAATTTATTGACATCATTCTGTGTCGTGTGTTTTTCCTCAGTTGGAGTTTCAAGAAATTTTTAATCGAAATGTCATGATTGTTGCGGCAACAAATAGACCCGATGTGTTAGATGATGCTTTGTTACGGCCTGGAAGATTAGATAAGATTATTTATATCCCACCTCCAGATGAAAAGGTAATCATTGCACACACTCTGGGTGAACGTTCTCAATAGCACATAAGTGACTGAACTCTTAAGGAGCCTGGCAGAACTGAATCCCAAGCGGGAGGTGGGTGTACGTGGTGTGTGCTGTACAATGGGTTCTGCATTCTTCCTGCCTGGAGACTCTTCATAAATCATCATTTCCGTCTGTTTTTCCTGGGACTCTGGCCCTATTTTAAGAGAAACATAAGCCTAAAAGTAAGGTAGTTATTTCAGTGAGTTACTGAGTTGGTTGAGTCTATTCACCATTATTTTGCAACTAGAATGGAGGAATCCTAAAGTGTTAAAAGGCTTTGGGGTTAACATCCTTACTTTACAGTGGAGAAATCTGAGATTTTAGAGATTACATAATGTATCCACAGCCAACGAATCAGTGAATTCTTTGCCCTTAACATCCAGGGCCTCTGGCGGGAGTGGTGAAAGACAGAGAATGAATTTTTTCCTTCCTTGGGCTTTTGTCAAGTTTTGAAGGGATGAAAAAAATTTTTTAAATGTCTGTTATATTTTTAAATTGTGTCTGATTGTTCATGTATTTACTTTTAAACATATCTGGTGGTACTATTTGTACCTGAAAGAGAGATTGATCATGTCTCTTAAAGAGATCTACCTATAGTTAGCTATTTTAAAAATCAACTATAAAAATATTAAAATTTTATCATGATGTCATTATTATTACCATTGTCATATGAGCCATTGATGAGTTAATCTTTCTTACCTCTTCAGAAGTGATTCTTACTGTTTGATTTTTAAATATATGTACTTTCTATGTAATATGATAGGAAACTCTAAGTTGAAATGTTTTAACATAGTGTGTGTCAAACATAAATGTTATAGGGTTATAAACATATTAATTATATTTTGTTCCAGGGCAGGCTTTCTGTTTTGAAAGTCTGTACAAAAAACATGCCAGTGGGACCTGATGTTTCTTTAGAAAACCTAGCAGCAGAAACCTGTTTTTTCTCTGGAGCTGATCTTAGAAACCTATGTAAAGAAGTAAGTTAATTAGTGAAGAAATCTGTGGTTCAGAACATTTCTTCCTTTATTCAGATCTTCATTCACTTGGCGGTATTTACTGAAAGACGCCTGTGTGGCAGGCACCCGGTGAGGTGAAAGAGACAGATGCAGCCCCTTCCCTTGTAGAACTTACAGGTTGATGGGGAGCGTGCAGAGAGGTGAATCATAATACTGAATTGGCAACTGAAAATACGTAGTGAGTCGGGGAAGTTTAGGGTGCTGTGTATGGAAACACCAAGGAAGAACACCAACCTGGACTTGGGCGTCATAAAGAGAGGGTGTGTGTAAACTGAAATTGGGGGGTGATGAGGGGAGTTAGCAGGCTAAGGAGGGAAGGGGAGTGTTCAAGGCAGAGGGGATAAAATATATAGACTGTTGGAGATAGGAAATGACATGACATTATTGAAGAGGTGGACAATAGCCAGATCACTCAGGTCCTTGTAAACTACTTTAAGGCCTTTAGACTTTATTTTGAGGGCAAAAGAAGCCATTGTCCAGTTTTCCCTTTCCCTAAACTTTTTTTTTTTTTTTGTTTTTTTAGTTTAAGTAAATTTTATTTTATTTATTTATTTTTAAATATATATTGATTTCAGAGAGAGGAAAGGAGAGGGAGAGAGAGATAGAAACATCAGTGATGAGAGAGTCATTGATCGGCTGCCTCGTACACGCCCCCCAGTGGGGATTGAGCCCGCAACCCGGGCATGTGCCCTGACCGGGAATCGAACACTGATCACCTGGATCGTAGGTCGATGCTCAACTGCTGAGCCACTCCCGGCCGGGCTAAGTAAATTTTATTTTTATTCTTCAATTTTTTCAATTACAGTTTACATTCAATATTATTTTCTATTCATTTCAGGTGTACAGCATAGTGATTAGACAATGATACTTTACAAAGTGGTCTCCCTGATATTTTCAGAACACACCTGGCACCACACATACTTATTACATTACTGACTGTTCCTTATGCTGTATTTTACATCCCGTGACTAATCTGTAACTACCAATTTGTACTTTTTAATTACTTCACCTTTTTCACCCAGTCCCCCATCCTTCTCCTCTGGCAGCCATCAGTCTACTCTCTGTATCTATGAGTCTGTATCAATTTTGTTTGTTCTTTAGATTCAACATAAGTGAAATCGTATGGTATTTGTCTTTCTCTGTCTGACTTATTTCACTTAGCATAATGCCCTCTAGTCCATCCCATGCTGTCACAAATGGTAAGATGTCATTCTTTTTTAGGACTAAGTAATATCCCATTGTATATATGCACCACAGCTTTTTTATCCACTCATTCTATTGATGGGCACTTGGGTTGCTTCCATATCTTGGCTGTTGTAAATAATTCTGTAAGGGACATAGGAGTGCATATATTCTTTCCATAAACTTCTATAAAATATAACATTCAGAAAAATGCACAGATCAGATCATAAGGCTACAGTTCACTGAATTAACATAAAGTGATTACTTGTATATCCACCACTTGGGGTGAGAAAGAATATTATCAACACCCCAGAAGCCTCCCTTGGACCTCCGCACTCTCTATCCCTAAGGAAACCACTCCTGAAGTTCGGGTTACTACCCTTTTGCTCTTATGAACTATGCTGCTATGAACAAGCTTGTGCATGTGTATTGGTGTACATGTGTATGTGTGTCTGTTTCATGTATGTATATATCTACAGAGAATTGCTGGGTCATAAAGTATGTGTTTGATCTGTTTCTTTCTGGTCAGTGTTGTGACCTGTTTAGAAACTCCTAGTCTGAGGTCAGGAAGATAGTCTCTCATCTTTAAATACGTATATGGGCTCATAATGTATATATTATTCTGCAACTTGCTTTTTCTTTTTTTCCCGTTTAAGGCCAGAGTTTAATGTAGAAGAAAAGTTCTACTAAGAGGACTTTTAATCACTGACTTTTTAGCTTAATGTTCTTGTATTGTTTTTTGTTAATCCTCACTTGATATTTTTTTCCATTGATTTTTGTAGACCATGTGCGAGAGACACGTTGATTGGTTGCCTCCCACACGTGCCCAATAGGGCAGTTTAATGTTTTTATTGTCATGAATTTGGAATTCTGTGAAGTGAGACTGAGATTTTTGCATTCAAGCTTTATATATTATAAAACAAAAATGAAGCGAATTATTTCTTTTTGTCTTTCATAGGCTGCCTTGCTGGCTCTGCAAGAAGATGGACTAGAAGCAACCACAGTGAAACAAGAGCACTTTCTAAAATCACTTAAGACTGTAAAACCATCCTTAAGTCACAAGGATTTGACTTTATATAAAAACTTATTTCAGAAACAAGGATTTTTTAACTTAGAGGATATTTAAAGATTACATACCTGCTCAAGGATTAACTGAAATGTGAACTTGCACTATAGTTTGCAAGTTCACTTTTAGAGTTTGTATATGTTATTTCTTGTAAATAAACCAAACTTGTGGCTGATAAGCTAAGGTTCATCTTATTTCTAAAAAGTATATTAAAATACCATAATTTAGGAAAAAAGTATATGTATGTGTGTTGATTTTGTAGTGGGAGTGGTGGTTTTTGTTTGCTCTGTTTTGGTTGATTGCTTTTTTAACTACTTTGAAATAATTTCATACTTACGGAAAAGTTGCAAGAATGGTACAAAGAACTCATATATTCTTAACCCATATTCACCAATTTTTAACATTTTGCCATATGGTGAACAGACATACCTCTTTTTATTGTGCCCTCAAGATGTTGCATTTTTTCACAAATTGAAGGCAAGACCCTCCACCAGCAAAAAGATTACAACTCTTGTTGTTGTGATACTTGCTTTATAGCAGTGGTCTGGAACCGAACCCGAAGTATCTCTGAGGTACGCCTGTACTTAAGAATTGATATTATACCTAATCCCCTTTCATCCCCTTAATACTTCAGTGTATATTTCTTACAAATAAGGTTATTTTCTTATATGACTACAGTGCACTTATCAAATTCAGGAAATTGAACATTGACACAATATATTACTCTCATCCCATGACGTTCATCCTTTGTGCCGGTAGTCATTTTTCCCCACTACAGGGTCCAATCTAGGATCCTGTACTCCATGTAGTTGTCCTGTCTCTCCTCTTTAGCTTCTTTTAATCTGAAAGAGTTCCTCAGTCTTTCTTGGTCTTGACATTTTTGAAGAGTACAAATTATTTTACAGAATGATGGTTCCTGATCTCTGTTCGTCTGATATCGCACCGTGATAGATTCAGCTTCTGCATTACCAGTGGAGCACTACGTAAGTGCTGTCGTCCTCAGAGATCACCGCTAGAGGCACGTGGTGTCTGTATATTATTGGTCACATTAATTTTGATCACTTGTTTATGGAATTGTCCAGTTTCTCCACTGTATAGCTACTGTTTTCCCTTTTGTAATTATAAGTATTTTTAAGGAGGTAGATTATATGTAAGTTTTTAGTTTCCATTATTACAAAAATATTTAGAATGCTAGAAAATACAGATAAACACAAAGAAAACACTTGGGTATTTAACCTTCCAGCCCCTTATGCATGTATAGATAAGACATGGTGCTAGGTAGCTTGTTTTTCTCATCTAACAATATTTGGTAAGCATCTCACTGAGTCTTTCTTCACTCAGCTATAAGTGAAGGAGACAGGCATGGCACTAATAGTTCAGCTAGGAGCACGGGTCTCAGACAAGTCATGCTGTGAACTACATACAACCAAACGGAGTTAAGAGTCTGGTCAGAGCATAGTGCATAAAATGTATAAACACTTTAACAGCTGAGAGCTCAATTTTGAAAGTGAAATGTATTTTAACACTGCGTTTATAATTATTCAAAGTGTGTATATACATTTTTGGGGGGGACACCCTGTATATGAAATCATAAATGTTGGTGGGGAGTTTTCTATTTCTGACCAGCCAGGACTCGTTGATTGAGCAAAACCTATATTATTTATAGGTATAACATACAATTCATCTAAAATTATTCTAGTCTTGGCCGGTTTGGCTCAGTGGTTAGAGCGTCAGCCTGTGGTTTGAAGGGTCCTGGGTTCGATTCTGGCCAAGAGCACACACCTTGGTTGCAGGTACAATCCCTGGCCCCGGTTGTGGCTCGTGCGGGAGGGAGGCAACCAGTCCATGTCTCTCACATTGATGTTTCTCTCTCTCTCCCTTCCACTCCCTCTGAAAAGCAATGGAAAAAATATCCTCAGGTGAGGATTAAAAAAATAATAAAATAATTTCAAAAATAAAGTTATTCTGACAACCTGACCTCTCGCTTTTTAATAGTGGGGAAAATACCTAGAAAATTTCTTAGACTCCTGACAGCTTTCATTCACGTTCTCTCTCAGTTGATTTTCTAGAACAAGGCAACCATTAAGCCCTTGCCATCCCTGGGCTGGAGGCACCCCGGCCTGAACCCCTTCACTCAGACTCTAGCTGTAGGCCCCTTTTTTCCTAGAAAAAGTTTCTAGGGGTCAGGCTGGAAATCTAGTACCCACATTTGGTGAGAGGCTGAATTTTGATTTGAAAATGTCTTTTGAAATTGTAACTATAACTTCTCATCAGAACTTTGGAAGCCCCCCGAGGACAAAAACCATGTGTTTTCTCTCATTAAAACTCAATAAATGAAGTCAGACTAAGGATTTCAGTTTTTGCCCCCCATTTATTTTTTAAGGTTAAAGTTTGTTGGGGTGACATTGGTTAGTAACAAGTGTCAGGTGTACAGCCTTACAATACAACGCCTGTATGGCGGCTCCCCACCGAAGCCTAGTCTCCTGTCACGTACATTTGTCCCCTT